CTTGAGATAATGAAGGTTCAAACAACATTAGATATCATTTTACTTAGTATAGTGAAGGTTCAAACAACATTAAATGATATTGTGCTTGGGGTAGTGGGAACTGTGCAGAGGCAACTGAAGATATTGTTTATATTATTCGTCATTCATACTTGAAACACTTGGGGCTTGTGTTTAGCCATTTGGATCTATGCAAAGACACTTGGAATTTGTGCAAAGATATTTGGTGTTCATATAAGAACACTTGAAGTTCATGTTGGAGATACTTAGGATTCTTGTGCTGCAGCACTTGGCACAGTAATTTGGTGCTAAAATACATGAAACTTGTACAGAGGTACTTGGAGTTTGTAAAATGATAGTAACATCACAGATGTTACTCAGTATCATGTAGCTGTATTATATTTCTAATAGTCAATTAAGATTCTTTTATCTATCTACTATATAATATAACTATTGACTAACTAATAATTAATAACTTAATAATAAATATAATATAAAATACAATATTGAATATATATATAATTACTAATACTACTATATAATATACTATACTAAAATCTATTTTGTAACAATATAGAGAAAATTTGATACAAATGATCATTAGGAAGAGTTAATAATTTGCATTCTATAATTACATTAATATAATTAATAGATTATAAAACATCTTAGGTTTGTATTATTCAGTATTAGTTTGTATTTTATTATATAATTAAAATTATATAAATAAGTTCTTATGTCTGTATAAATTTATAAAATTAAGAAAACAGAAATCTATTTAAAAAAAAGTAATATGAATTTTTAATAGTACTAATATAAAGACTAGATCTAAAAAATATATATTAATATAAAAGAATCAGATAAACAAAAATTAGAGATATGGTAACTTAATAAAGTGGATAAGTTATCAATCTTCCAAGTAATAGATTGTGAGTTCAAAACTTATAGACAGCAAAAATTTAGATAAACATCTATGTAATATTTGTATTATGATAATTGTTTCTAATAATTGGGTTAAGATATCTGTAATTATGATCATATTAACATGATTGGCAGGTCATGAGACATCTGTGTAACTGGTTATATAGAAGAATGCAAACTAGCATCAGGTAATGCAAACTTAAAATAAGTTCTTGTGACTATGTAAATCTATAAAAATTGGAGAACAAGAAGCCTATTTGAAAAAACCCAAATAGAGAAATAATATGAATCTTCAATAGTATTATTGTAAAGACTAGATCTAGGAAACAGATACTAATGTAAAGTATTTGGATAGGCAAAAATCTCTAAGTAGAGAGTACTACCAACCAAACTACCAGAATTCCAACTAGAAGAACTAGAGGAAAAGAATATCAGACTGATCTGATATACCAATAAACTAGTTATAGCCCTAACAGACTATCTGAATTGAGAGTCTAAAAAAAAAATAGGAGTATACTAAAAGTACTAAGAATATGTTGTAAAATAAGTGCTAAGGTCTGAATAAACTCTGCAAAAACAAACCCTGTTAATATTCTATAAAGTAGGTAAATAGTTAACAGAAAGGCTTTCTAAGTCTTATAGTCAGATAATATGCTTTGAAATTAAATAACAGCTGAATAAATATATAGAAAAAAGGCAAATGTTAGATTAGATGGCACTTAGGTATACAGAAATCAGGATAGCTAATTGTCTAGATACAGTATAGGAACTAGAATATTTAATTAGATAGTCTTATAATAGATTATAAATATGGTAGCTAATGTAGAACCCTTGGGCAGACTACTTAAATAGATAACCAAAAATTCATATTTGACTAGTTATATGCTCATTCTGTACAAGTAATATATAATGTATTAACTAAAAACACAAATAAAAGCATTAGCCATTATTAATATTAGACTTAATAATAATAATAATAATAAAAAGATAAACAAAAATCTCCAAATAAAAGATATTACTAATTAGACTGTCAAAATTCAGATTAGAAAAAAAATATATCAAGCTGAACTTGATATACTAAAAATAGATTATAGTTTATTAGGCTATTTAAATTAAAAGTCTAAAGATAAAACAAGAATATACTAAGTACTAAAGATATATTATAAAATTAATACTAGGATTCAGATAAACTTTGCAAAGATATAATCCTGTTAATGATCTATAAAATAAATAGGTTAATTAATAAGAAAATGCTTAAAACCTTACTGTTAGGTAATATATTCTAAAATGAGTAATAATTTAATAAATATACAAAAAGAAGACTAAATGTTAAGTAAGATAACACTTAAGTATACAAAAACCTAAGTTTATTTATTTAATGTAATATAAGAACTAAAAAGATTAAATAAATAATCTTCTAGCAGATTACAGGCATAACAGCTAGTGTAGAACCTGCAAGTGAATTACTTAAATAGATAATCAAAAATTCATATATAATTAATTGTACATTTATCCTTATACAAGTTATATGTATTTATAATTAAAAATCACAATAAAGATAATAGCTGCTATAAAGATCAGCCTTAACAAAAAAAAAACTATTTAATATATTTAAAAACAAGATTATAATTTTAGACTAGTTTTGTTTTATTTTAGTTTTCATTATTTCACCTTAATAATTCACTATCTGCTTATTACTAATTTACTACAATTGCGTTTTACATGCGAACCTTGTTATACCACAATAAAAACCGGTTAATCAGTAGAGCGAACGTGCTATTTGCATCTATGCACACGGTTAGAAATAACAGGGTCAGGACAGTGTTGAAAATTCGAATTTGCGGATCCAATCAAATCAGTTTATTTCAAAAATTAGGCAATTTGATTGGATCTACACATTCCTTCAATTCGTGAAAAATGTGTAAAGATCATTTGACTAATATACATTTCGTGATAATGTTAATTGTATAAAGTTTCAAAAATATGCACGGTAGCAGGTGATTGGCCGCTACGCGGCCAATCACATGTTGCCATTTGATACCTGCGTGCATATTTTTAACCGAAATTGACAGGGCATAGGATCGATTTTCCGTTCACGTGATTTTCCGATGTCATATAAAAAAATTTATTTACATTAGGGTTTGGGTCAGGGTTTAAGTTAGGGTTTGGGTTTAAAAACAATAGTATAGTAAAATTGCACGAGGAAAATTTTTTGTTAGGACCAAAAAGGCGATTTACTAGTCTATATTTTGTAATAAATGTAAATTTTGCAAAGCGAACGTTTGTTTTGATTTTTTTTACGTTATACCTGATCTCGGTTTTTAATTGGCTAACTGACATCGGAAAATCACATGAACGGAAAATCGATCCTATGCCCTGGCGTTGTTATTTTTAACCTATACAATAACGGTATTTATACAGCAGAGACCGTTAATGTTACACGTATATTAAAACTGGTGAGGGATTATATCCATCACAATTGAATTCAACATAAATAATTTAATTCGTGATTGATCACAGGTGAGAGGGATTCTGCTGTACGGTATTTATCGTATAGTAGTTTACTTCATCATATTCGTAATTACGTTATCTAGCGAGTATATATATTGTATTTTTTCAATTAAAATTATCCCATGTAGATTATTTTAAAGACCGAAAAAAGATGATAAAACAGTGATAACGAAACTATACAAATATGAGAATTTTTAATATGTTTATTTTTTATTAAACAACTATTGTTTGTTAGTTTACAAACGTTTTTTTAAAATATTATTGCTAGTTTTTTAAATATAATTGACAACTACACAAATTTACGACGCAGTATGTATAAAGTCGAATAATTTGTTACAATAATAAAAAAAAAACAAACAAGAAATCAGTATATGAATGATCTATCTATCGTGAAGTTATTCATTTTTCAAAAAATCATTGATATCAACCTTGAAAACAAAATGAAATGCATCATCCATTTTGCATTAAATGATTATTTTGGTTGATCGACATATGTTTATAAAGTTGAATCAAATTAGCAGTAGAAAACCACCTTTCCAGGATTAGAACGAAAATCTTTTATTCATAGTTCATTATTCCTTACTTTAATTCACTTTACCCTATCACAATATTGAAGAATATTCTTCTTTATTTATTTTTAATATGACAACGTTTAGTCTGGTGCATGTGTTTTTTATTATCACTTTTATTATTATGCTCTTTATTGATGAACCTAATGCAGTTTATGGTAATTTGAACGTTAATTCACGCGAGTCTTATAATGAAGCGCGATCAGCATGCGCGGATAAGGGCCTAGGTAATAGTACAGTGCAAGCTAGATGTGTTAGTAATCCCTGCAACGTCTTGGGTTGGGAATGTGATACAAGTGAAATTGGTCAATGCTGTGAAAATCCAACCAAACAAAAAAGACCAAAAAACACAAAACGTCCCAATACAAAATGTCCAAAAAGGCCTAAAGGCAAAGGAAAAGGAAAAGCGGCTAAAGAGCAACCAATCAGCGTATCGGCATCCGGAAAGGTACATACGTATTTAATATACGACAATAACTCAATAACGATAATTGATTATCCTAATATATGCTTATTCATGTTCAGGCCATAATCGGCAATGCACCAAAAAATGGCCCACCCTCTAATAACGATAATATTTGTCAACCTCGTGAAGACGTTTGTCGACCGTGTGATGGTGTTTGTCAACCTTGTGAGGATGTTTATCGGCGAGATGAGTATATTAATATACAATCAAGACAATTTGATAATGTTTTGTGTACTCCCTATAGCGTTAGTCCATGCACCGGGTTTGAAGGTTTGGATCATGATATATGTGGGTGTGAACAACCATCACCTGAGATCTTTATAATACCTCAATGTTGTGAAAGTACAGAACAACCTAAGTGTAAAAGAAAAGGGAAAGGGAAGTGTAAAGGAAAAGGGAAAGGAAAGTGTAAAGGAAAAGGAAAAGGGAAGGCATCTAAAGAGCAACCAATCAGTGTATCAGCTTCTGGAAAGGTAATCGTTTAAACATACGATGAACCTCAATTATTTCAATATTTATATGTATGTTTGCTTATTCTTTAGGCCACCATTGATTTTGAGGAACAACCTAAAGGAAAGGTGCCTACACATAGTAATGTCTGCCAACCTTGTGATAATGTATGTCAACGAAACGAAAATATACAATCGAGGCAATTAGTCGGCCCCGGGTATTAACTTATCTCCACAAATAAACCAATTGACGAATTAAGCATTCGAGAGTCATCCAAATTCGTTTCTGCCTTTGCTTAAAACTCGCATATATTTTCGAAAATTTTAATTGCTTAGTGATTTTGAGCGATTGTTAAAGTTGGACTAAGACCAAAAGGCAAAGGAAAAATTGCGATTTTCGTCATTGTAACTAAAAGGAGATGTTTCTTTTTTTAAATACGTATATAGTTAAATTTTCCTTTTTAAAAAATCTTGTACCAAATATATATACATATTAGTGTCAATATAGCGATAGTATAATAATAATAATAATAATAATAATGAGGGTATAGTGACAATATAATGGTATCTTGGTTTGATTTATCACAATTATTCAAATCCATAAAATAATAAATCCGAATATTAATTTGACAAATTTATGATAAATTCCAAAAAATTACCAAATTCATATTCGAATTATTACATTCGGGATCAAAGTTTCCAGTTATTTCTAGTGTCTAAATCCGGGCAAATTTGAATATGTGACTGTTGCAATATCATTGGTGCTATTTTAGATGCTAGAGATAGTTGGATATCCAAACTTCGACTGTCGCGTTTTACATCTTAATCGATTTGAAAAAACACAATCTTCATTTAATGTTGTTTGAACCTTCACTATACTAAGTAAAATGATATCTAATGTTGTTTGAACCTTCATTATCTCAAG